AGTATCCCAACTATCCTATAATAGTATCCCAACTATCCTATAATAGTATCCCAACTATCCTATAATAGTATCCTAACTATCCTTTAATAGTATCCCAGCTATCCTATAATATTATCCAAACTATCTTATAATAGTGTCCCCAACTATCATATTATAGTATCCCAACTATCCTATAAGAGTATCCCAACTATCCTATAATATTATCCCAACTATCCTATAATATTATCCCAACTATTCTATAATAGTATCCAAACTAACTTTATAATAGTAGCCCAACTATAATATTATAGTATACCAACTATCCTATAATAGTATGCCAACTATCCTATAATAGTTGGGATACTATTATAGGATAGTATCCCAACTATCCTATAATAGTATCCCCACTATCCTATTATAGTATCCCAACTATCCTATAATAGTATCCCAACTATCCTATAATAGTATCCCAACTATTCTATAATAGTATCCCAATTATCCTATAATAGTATCCCAACTATCCTATAAAAGTATCCCAACTATCTTTATAGTAGTCCGAATTATTCTGACGTTTTATCAACTTTTTTCATATCTAACTGTCGTCGATTAACGACCGACAGACCGATATGAAAAAAGTTGATAAAACGTCAGAATAATTCGGACTATCTGTATAGGTGTGTGGATACTCCCATTACATACGTGTAAATATTTGTTTGGACCAATTTACGAACCAAAAAACAAGCAAATGACAACAACGCAGAGACTCGTAAAAACGGGGGAATTTTAATTAACATATATAAAAAAAATACCAAAACTTTGACATTTTTATCTTTTGTCCTGAGCGACATAATAGTATGATTGCTTCTGTCCAACACTGCCTCACAAACCAGAGGCCAAGTAGACAATCTAAATGCGTTGTGGTATAACGACAAAATAGCAATGCCCGATTTAATTATTTGTGACTATAAAGTGTAGTAAAATTGGGGTATTAGCCACCATTATTTAAAGAATTCAATTCCAATGGCTTAATTTGATATAGATATGACTTTAAGCTTACGTGGCGTACTGAAATAAAATCGGTCACCGACTGGAACAATGTTATAACGTATAGCTACACCTCTTAAATTACTTCACAATATATATCTACACATTATAAACGCACGAAATGAAAACAGCTTATATGTTTTCAGTCGATACTAACTCCTTAGAATATATGTTTAACTACATATCTGGTAGGTTCAAATCACCCAAATAACAAACGGTATCTATTTCGTAAATATTTGATCGCGTAGACATGAAGCTACACTACAATAACTATAATAATTCCCTGGAATACGCCTGATTTGCAACGTTAACTACAAATGACAATTGAATGTCGTTGTTAGAGCTTTATGTATAGTCATGAAACGTACATTTGTACTTTTCGGCTTAAATGTATGCAAACTAAAATGATATAAATCACTATACAAGTTACACAGATATATTATTGATATCTTGTGATATAAATTGCCTAACCTACCATCACAGCAAACCTCAGCAAAGCTCCAGTGTACACGTGACTGACAGCCACGGACCTGGTAGGTGTCAACAGTGAAAGCGCGCCCTGGCAGACATTGCTAAATATTGTCCATTGATCAATGGCATTGTTATCACAGACGTAAAATGATCAATATTTACTACTTTGCCATCTTATATCAGCCTGGAATGGTCCGGTCCGTTTCCGCATTTCGCAGAAATGTGACGAACTTCGTAAATGCAGCTCCCGTCTCGAACTTACAAACCCAGTTACTTCAGCGTTGTCCAGATATCTCTTGATTCGTTTTCCTCTAAAGTACATGTAATCTGTTGATGCAATGTGTGTCACAAACTGAGGTAGATCTTATAAAGTTTAAAGACGTGGGTAATAAAGGCACTCCGATCCTGAGTAACAATAGGTTGTAATTTAACCGCAATACAGGTCTCTTTTAAGATCGTGTGCATCCAAAACTTTGCACCAACTTTCCTATAACCCACTTCTCGTATACGGACATTTTAGTTCACAAATGTGCAATGCGACGAACTGTTTGCATGAAGCACGCCCCACCTAGCGCTGGGACAATATAGTACAGGAAACGGCATTATACATGGAAGAGGTGGTCGAGGGTTTCGAACCCGTATACCTGCGGCGCACGAGTCTCGTTCATATCCTTACCAGTGAGACGATTGCCGACGATGAACTCCTTGCCGAGCTGTTTCTGTGCCCATGTTATAATGGTATCGATAGTGGGGGTCTCCACGCCGGCGATCTCTGCTATCCCCTTCATCACCACCAGTCCGAAAGGGACGTCCTCCCGGGTATACCGGTAATGGAAGTCTGGAATGAAACCCTTACCGTCATCACCTCCTGGTTTCATTGGATGAAGCAACCCGTCATATGCTTTATTTGTTTGCATAGCCTTCATCAGGCAACTGTGGTCGGATATTTCGTGACAATAGTACTCCCGGTACCAGTCCAGAATGTGGATAACCGCTGACATGTCGATGTTCTTACGCTTGTCCTGAATGACCTTGGCCGTATTTACAACCTCGTCGCTGACCTTTGACAGGAGACCGGCTTGTTCCTCATCAACACCTTGGTAAAACAGTGGTTTCTCTTGGAGGACCTCGCCTTTGTATCCCCTCCACCGGCCATACATCAGAGGCGGGTGGATGATACTCTTTGCCATCAGATTAATGGCAACATAGTTATTGATGACCTTGAAGACGGGGTTCTCTCCGAAGATGAACTGTATGATGTCGAGAGAATGCGCCGTTAGGTTGCTCTTGCTACCGATCAAGATTGCCGCGCCTAAGGACTCTTTAAATCCGAGCAGCTGCACATGACGTCCAAACTCCATAATTCGGCATGCCCACGGAAGTGACTCAAAAGATGCGACTGCGCACTGCTTCGCCTTCGTGCCCAATGCCTTGACTGCCTGAAACTCGAACCCAGCCTGGCCCGGTAAGCCAATCAGCAACGTGTTGTCAAGAACGTACTTTGAAATCGCATTTAGATATTGCTCATGCGCGAACGCCGGAACTGTGAAAAATATCATGTGAATACCATCAGTTGCCTTTTCCGGGTCTTTCGTTACTAGAGAAGGCCTGGACTTAACGTCTTCCGTGTGATTCTCGCTGTATGTGATGGATATCGTCATGTCGTCCTCTTCGAGGGCTTTCGTCCAGCTCTCAGCCTCGTCCTTGTACAAGGTCAGTACTCGCACTTCAACATGCGGTCGACAGGAGGCCAAGGCGGCCATACAGTGGGCGCCATTTCCACCGCCACAGACGAGGATCTTTAGAGTTCCCTCAGAATCTAGATCTTCTGAAATAGAAATAAAATGTATTTATAAGTCCTCATGAGATTGTGTGTGTTTATGGAGGCGGTTCACAACTCTGATAATGTTTGCTATATTTTCTTTTATACTGGGTTGTTGGGCAGATGTCGCTCAATTGTGAAGTGATACATTCTTAAGCAACAGGGAAGCATTTAAGACGTTCTGCCATTTTATTTTACTGTTCTCCCGGCTTCCTCATAATGCGCCGGAACGCTGACAACTGGCTGACGGAAAAGGAAATGTGATTGACTCTGTGCATAGGTCTGTTTGTTTGTTTGTTTGTTTGGGTCGTTGGTTGCATAGGGCTTAACGTCCCATTAACAGCTTATTTTCGAAAACAAGGAGTACGTGCATACATGTAGGAGTAAAATAAGAGGGTGAGGGACGGGGGACGGACACTGGTGCGGATGTTAACCAAATTTGTAAGAATTCTAACACCCTAAAATTGCTGCTCTTAATGCCGACTTTAACCTAGAATAAATGATTTTACAGGTTTCAATTACAAAGACCTAATTCAGTAGGCATGTTTTTGGACCTATCCTGATGAGAAAAGTTTATATACGAGGCGTTAAAGGTTTAAATCTGGTAAAGATGTCCCCAACAATAAAGGTATATACTAGCATACATCAATATACCAGTACATACATCAATATACCAGTACATACATCAATATACCAGTACATCATCAATATACCAGTACATACATCAATATACCAGTACACAAATCAATATTCCAGTACATACACCATCATAGTGGGGATATTACTACCAGATTTTCCTTTTAACACTCTTAAAATACTCTACACATAAAGTTAGGTCATGACATACTTACTTTAACCCACGAATTCGCAGGTACCCTTGAGCTAAATAAATTGATTTAAGCAACTTTTTACTCATTATAATTAACTTGTCAGAGTATCAGTTTTATATATATCCATACAACAAATTGTAGGAAATGTAATAATTTCCCTACTTTGTAAACCTACCACATTTCTTTTAAGCGGAAGAAACTACGCGAATTCCATATCTACATCTGAAAACCTATGAAATTCAATACGTAATGTATGTTTCTCTCCCCCGTATCTTCATTTCTACCCTGTGGTAAAAGGCACTCATTTATGTCAATCATTAAATGAACTGGGGAGTTAGCAATAGCAAAAAATCAAGGAAGCATGAAGTCAGAACTCACTACGTAGACATTTGTGAGCAGAACATAGCCAGACTTTAAACAAGCATCCGTCATAAAAATCAAACAAGAGCGTGGGGGAAAAAACACTCGTTCTATGTGAAGTTTTTCGCAACATGTCGGTCAACTTCACTTCATAGAAACATGATAAACTAGCACGGCTATCATGAAAAATATACAATTTCGTCACATCGTTGTACAGGAAAAATACAAACCGCTCACTCAGTCATAGCTTGACAAAGGGACCAGTCGGTCTTGAAACGTTGCACGCTTTTATGAATCTTATTGAAGACAGCCATGATACCATTTGTGACACAGGGGCATGGATCGCTTCACTTGTAATATTAAAAAATACGGGTCTAGTATACTAATAAATATTTGTTAGTATAGGAGACCCCTTTTTTTAATATTACAAGTAAAGCGATCCATGCCCCTGTGCTTTGTGACATGGAGTCGCCTCCCATTTGGTAATGTACAGACATGTAGTAAATTACTGGAGGTAGTAAATAAGTTCCAGTAAAGTTGTTACATATAATGCTGAATTAATGTCGGTTATCAAAACAGTTCATTCGCATAAACTTCGTAGATGTATTTTATTTTTATAAAACTTGTTCCAAGTCCCTCTGGCCATCACCTTGTGATTGTCGGAATCACATTCTCGTTTCCTCTATGTAACGCTCTCGTAATGATAAACAAGAGAGAGCTGTCTGAGAAACTTTTGATTACTGGAATTTTGTATCTCTGCAACAGCTTAGAGTTATGACTGGTATGAAACAGAATACATATAGTGCACATCACTTACAAAGGCTTAATGTCTACAGAACTTGATGAGATGCCGACAATTCCTGTTGATCAATGTAGGAATGCTGACACAATACACACAACTATAGGTACAATGGCCTGCCTCAGCGGTCTTTTTTGGCAGACGATTAAGTTTAACCTTCCCAAGGTCGGCGTTTACGAGACTCATTCAAGTTTGTTCAATTGAATGACATTTAAGTAAGGTCAGCTGTGACCTAGAGGTTAAATAAGGTCGAGTGTGACACTAAGTCACTCGACTCTCCAAAATACAATGCATGTGTTAATAGGTTACCTGTCCCCAATTCTCTCAGCTTTTATTTATATTACAGTGGTAAAGCATTGCCTGTCGTAAAGGAGGGAGGGGGG